CCCCCCGCCTCCCGCCCCGGCCGCGCCCCTCCGGGGGTATTTCTCCACTTCGGAGGCCTGTCGAGGGGAGGCCCCGAGACTGTCCTCGGGTGACTCAGGCCTGCCATGCTCCCTTCGAGAAGTTCCTCCATCCGAAGTGCCAGGCTGCTGGCAGTGCCGGCATCTGGTACGCTGGGCCACCGAACAACCGATGCCGGTGCAGCAGCGCCAGCCAGCATGCGCCCGCTGCCGGGCAGTAGGCATCGTCCTTCCAAGGGGGCCCCAATGCTCTGAACAGGTGGTGATCCAGGGGTTCAGCCGCCGACCATGGTGTGCCAAGGTGTCAGGTCTGACAGTCTTCGCCAGGTTGACAACACGCGCACGGGGCCTAAGCTAGGCACCCAATCTGAGGAGCAAGCTCACCTATACACGTTGTCGCCAGCTGCCCTCCTCGCGCCTCTCTCCCTCCTTCCCCCCCCCTCTCTCTCTCTTCCTCGCTCCACTCTCTGGACCCTTTCCCCGTTCGGCAGGGTGAAAACATAACAATACGCAATGCGTCTTTCCCGCCTGTTGGTGGGCGCCGGCGAAAAAAGGCCACCTGCCAACCACACACCTAATGACGGACAGGCGGCTATCCTTCCCCGAAAGGCTCCCATCCCCCGGCCGGCCATTCCCCCCTGCAACCCAATAAGGCCCGCGATGCGGTTCACACCGACCCGATTGCGGGCTATAGTGCCTCGCCCTCCTCCCAGTCCCCGTCCCCCGTCCCCCGCCCCGCCCCCCCCGGGCGGCGCGTGGCCCGGACACCCGGGCATGTCCCCACCCCCTCCACCCCGAGAGGGGAAGGGGCAGCGACGCCGGGCCCCCCCCCCCCCGGGCGGGCGGCGGGCGGAGCAGCGCCGGCGGCTGCGGTGACTAACCCCGAGCGGGGGTGGTCCCGGCCCATCGGCCCGGCCGGCGCCTTCCTGGCGGGCTCTCCGTCGCCTCCTGGCGGCCCCCCTCCCGCCCCCCTCGAGGGGGGGGGGGGGCGGACACCAGCCGGGGACCGCAGCCACAGAGCCCACCCATATGGGCCGGGCCGAAGGAGGCCCGGGGGGGGGGGAGGGGGGCGCGGAGACCGCCGGGCGGGGAGGGGACAACGCCCCGCTGTTGTGCGCGCGGCAGGCCTCCGGCTCGGCCCCGGGCCTTGTGCGCGCAGGGTGGGCTGGGCCCGGCCGAGATGGCGCCCGCCGCAGGGGGGCCCGGCGCCGCGCGTGGCCGGGGCCCCGGGGCCAGGACCCGGGAGAACATGGTCCGACGCTGGCGCCGGCGGCGGCGCGGCCAGCGGAAACGG